GACTGTGAAATTCCATCCTGGGGCAACCCCACCTGCATCAAACAGTACCCCATGCTGCAAGAGACTTGGGTAGAAATTCAGCCACACATGCAGGAGGTTGAGAATCGCAGAATGTCTATAGACTGTCAAAGTGCTGCAGGGGCCGGGGAGATGGCTCAGTAGACTAAGCGCTTGCCTGGCAAGTGCAAGGCAAGGGCCTGAATTCAATCTCTGGTTCTGAAAAAAAAAAATACCAAAAGTGCTGCAATATACTTCTGCCTATAAAGACAGTTCAAGATCTCTGAGCTGCCAAAGCCACCACCATTGCCCTCCATGTACACTGCCTCGGTCTTCTGCCACCCACGGCCTGCTGGTACACCTGCCTGGGCCTAAAGAATGCCGCCTTCTGCCTTCATTTGACTTCTATCAGCCGTCCCCTCTTCACAAAGACCCCAGGTCTGGGACAACTCAAGCTGCCTGCTGGACAGGCACAAAAGCTCTGCTCCAATATCTGGCAGAAAACTGGTTACACAAACAGCTCTCACACATTTCTAGGAGCTGCTGGCTTCTACAGAATCTGGATCCTTGAGTGCATAGAAACAATGGAGCTTCTTCAGACTGGGAGCCCCTGGGAGCACCCAGTGGCTACCTGTGTAAATACGTGGGTCTGGTCACTAAGGGCTGCCTCCCCCTTTGCCTCCACACTCTAGCAGCCACTGTCCTTGTGATCAACAAAGCTGACAAGCTCACCTTTGACCAAGACCTAACTGTCCAGGTGCCACATGCTGTGCTGGGGTGAACAGTTCTTAACTGGATCCCCTGAGAGATGCTGAGTGCACCCTGTTTACAGATGGACGTAATTCTATTAGAAGTGAAGCCCAACAGGCTAGATATGCTGTGGACACGTTACACAAAACTATTTTGGCCAAAACTCTCCTGCAGGGGTGATCTACACAGCAAACTGCTTTCTGCCCCTGTTTGGAAGCCTCCCACCAACAACACAAAGGAATCCAGTCCAGAAGTTGAATCCCCCTCTGGGGATCTGATTGGCTGAAATGTCAACCCCCCTGCCCCCCAGACCTGTGGGTTCTGCAAACTTCTGTGCTGACACCTGTACCCCTGCAACCATCTCAGGCTTCAGCATCTGTGTCACTATCCCCAACCTCCCATTCCCTACTCATACTGAGAAGCCAATAAACATTTATAGCATCTTGCTGTAAAAAATCATGTGTAGCTATGGCCTACCTTTGATCATTGGCAGCAATAATGAACCTGCATTTATAGCAGAGGTAACTCAAAATCTAGATTAAATAAAAACTATACATAGCATGCAGGCCACAAAGCTCTAGAAAACTTAAAAATAAAAAACCAACTTGTAGCTCACATATAATTCAGGGACACATTAAATATCTCTACAAGTTTCAGAAATCCAGCCTCCAGCCTGCTAAAAATTTACCTGGACCAGACATCTCACGCTGAAGAGACAATACACTCAAAGCTCTGCTGTGATCACTCTGGACAGTGACGGGTCAACAGTTGGCTGAAGCCTGAGAACATTGTTCACAGGATTGCTCTGTCCCTATTCCCCTTGATTTTTGTGTCTTTTAAGGCTACTTACCCCAGTCTTTGCTTCCCTGCCTCCCTGCTAGCTGTGGTTTTTGCCTTAATCTATATGGACAGTTGCCCCAAGAAAATAGAACAATCAAACACTTGACCAAGATTCAGTGAGTGGCTAAGCCCTCCTCCCCCACTATACTTCAATTTTTTAGTGCCACCTGTCTGTTGTCTTTCCTGGCTCCTGAATTTCAATTTAGCTAATCTCTGCATGATGCTAAATACTCAGTTTGACTCATTAATTTTTGACCTAATTGGATGGTTGGTTCAGGACACTGTCCTAGATCAGATTAACTCCCTTATTAACTTACGGAACAATGTTACAGGACAGACAGGCCTAGATTATGTCTCTTCCTGAAAACAACTTAGGAAAAATGTTTGTAATAAGATGATCTTGGGGAGCTTGGCCAGGGCCCATCCTAGGATCATGGACACCCTAATGTTACTATTTCTAGTTGGGCCTCCTCTCAAAAGATCATGTGTCATATGCTCAGCAAAGATTTGCTGGGGAAACTAAAAGAGGGGGCAAATGTAGCAGAAAAATGCCTCCCACCCCCGCTGCCACTATACTTGAGTTTCTTAGTTGCCCAGCTAATAGTTCCTGCTCCAGTTTGGATTGCTTCTGTCTCTTAGAAATGGCTGTCACTGCGATGCATTGCTGGTCACCAATGGACAATTGACAACCAATCCTCAATTGACAAGCCGCTCTGCCTCTGTACTTCCTATTTGATTATCCAATATAAGCCCTAGAGCAGAAGTGATCAGGGCCTGACATTCTAGGATTGATCCTGGTCCGTGTCCATCAATGTAAATAAATCTGCCTCCAAATCCTGGGTGTCGCTTTGGTGTTTCTGCTTGCTGTCGTTCTCTGGGGGCTTGCTGATGGTCTCTGACACATCTCTCCTCACAGCTGTGTGACTCTCATCTCTGCCTTTGTAGTCCTGTGAGTCTCTGTCCTCGCAGGGCCATCGTCCTATCAGAACATTTGGGTGAAGGATCCGCTGTACTTCAGTATGTCCTCATGTCAGCTAATAATATTGCTAATAATTCTACTTCCAGATCAAGTCACATTCTGAGGTCCTGCAGATTAGGACTTTAACTTATCTTTTTTTTTTTTTTAATGTATTAGTACAGGGTCTACAGGGTCTCACTACGCAGATCAGACTCATAGTGATTCTCTTGTTTTCAGCCTCCCAAGCGCTGGGATTACAGGTGCAAGCCACCATACCGTCTCAATCGCATCTCAGCGCCTCGGGGTGTGGGGCTGGCACTGCATGCCGGGGACCAAACCCTAGTCCCTGCATCTGCCTAAGCAGGCACTTTAGTCCGCTGAGCTAGCTGGTGGGCCTTTCAGCTTATCTTTCTGAGTGCATCAGTTTATCAATATGTGAAGAGCCTGCTGAGACAGACAGTCGGCACTGGGACCAGAGAAGTAGATGAGAATGAGGTAGATAAAACCACTTCACAATTTTGTCCATGCATCTGGTCTCCATGATGCCCCTGCCCGTTTGGGCGCAGGGACCCTGTTACGGTGGCACTATCTGACCAGTTCCCAGTTGAAGGTGCTTGCGTTCTCCACTTGGGTACAGGCTGCAAAGCGAGGTCTGTGGTCATGTTCGGGACACACTCTGCTGGTGCCATATGTTAGCAAATGTCTGAATCTTGTGCAGACACACACGGGCAGTGTTCTCATAAGTGGAGTTACATAATTAGGGCATGGGCTTGCATAATAATTAGCATGTGTAATTAGGCACAGACTTCTTGTCCTTTAATTAGACAATCAAGACATCTAATTACAAAATTAAGATGTAATTACGTGGCCTGAGATCTTCATATTTCTTTCTGCCCATTAGAGAGCACATTTAGAAAAGAATTCACAAAAACTGATGAAGAAATGAATGTCAACTCCTGATCCGAGACTGTTAGAGGAGGTGTTAACTGAGCTGCTGCGTTCCCTTTGATCTTTCCCCTTTGGTACAAGGGAGTGATTTAAAATATTATCCTCTGCTTGAAATAATAACTTACCAACTGTGCTGCCAACCTCTGGTACACACATTAAGGAAGAGGAATGCTGGCATGACTAATCCATGCACTTCGCACGTGGCTCGGCAGCGTAGTTTGTAATTACCCTTCAACATGTACTAAATGTGACATCTTGGGAATTCATTCAAACCTCATAATGCCCCCAGATGCTGGCAACATTAGGCCAGCTGGGAGGACCACCTGCCTTTCCATGCTGTCCTGTTTACAGTACTCCTCTTTGGCCACTATAAAAATAGACCCATTGCTCCGAAGGAGGTAAGCACACATTTAGGTTGGGTTCTCTTTTCCCTTAATAGCTGAACACTTATTGAAATGTTCTCATCCTAAGTGCTCCTTATTGGGCTGCAGGTGAGAAAGGGAAAGGCCTGAGGACACAGGAAGTAGCCCATCTTTCTATTAAGTGTGTTGCTGTGGTTGGTGCTGCTTTGCCGTCTAGTGCTCCTGCGAAGCCAAGCTGCAGTGCTACTGCCTGTTGCTTTTCCCTTGCCCCTAAATTTCAATTTAGCTAACCTCTGCAGGATGCTAAATACCCAGTTTGATTCATTAATTTTTCTAAACTGAACTTTTGAACTAATTGGGTGGCTGGTTCAGGATCTGAGCCATATGTCCAGGGTTCCTAAGCCAGTTCTTGTTCTAACTGTGCTGTCGCTCCATTCCTATAAACTGCTGCAAATCCCAGCAATCTCATTGACTTGACAGCCACACTGCACTCCTCCGACAGCCACTTTCTCCTGGAAAGTGGTACAGAAATCTGTCTTACCAGCCCTCTTGATTTGTGGCTAAAAAACATGCTTCCCACGTGGCTACAGACTGGGAAAACAAAGGCTAAAAGAGGTTAGAAGTAGTTGGCATTAGGATCTCCTTTGCATGGTTTGTCTCTGTCCCAATTTTTCACTTTTCTCTCTTCATTCATGGAATGTGATGAGGGAAAAACTATGTATGACAGGAGACCAGTCTTCACCAAGAAAATAAACATGCATAGGAAGCTTACTTTATGCCATGGTCAGTTTTTGTCTTTTCCTTGCCAACTGAGCAATTGTTCGTGATAGATTTAGAGACAAAGAACCAAACTAAGGTGAAATGAGTTCGTCAGCAAGACTATCAGTGGGGAACAGCAGCCACCCCATTCCAAGGAAGTGCCCTCCCCCTGAGGTTTTCAGATCCCTGCATCTGTAGTTCATCACTTGATCAGGAAGACTTTCTCAGCTCCTGTTCTGTTCGTTCACTGCCTGGCCTCAGCCCCTTGGGTCTTAGAAACTTGCTCTCTGTCCTTACTTCCTGGGATCTCAGTGTTTCTACATAGGGCCAAAAGCATGAATGCATATTTCAGTTTCTTGGTTTTGAAACTGTGTCCCTCTCTCCAGGTACTCCACGTCGGCATTCTCGACACTGGAAAAGCTGGGCATCAGACACCCCAAGCCTTCTCCTTTCATTGGGAACTTGACCTTTTTCCACAAGGTGAGTTCCTGACTTGCTGGGTGCAGTGCAGGCTTCCCATGAAGCGCTGGTCTTGCCCCGGTTACTGGCCTAGGGGGTCTGTGTGTGAAGGTGCTGTGTGATGTGCTGAGCCTTCCCACCTGGAATGAGCTCTTCTGTGAGGACGGCCTGTACCTATCCCACACCAGTATTTACTGACTCCTGCCATTCATTCATTCATTCATTCATTCATTCATTTTTTTTTTTTTTTCTGAGCATCAAGTATTCCAGGCCCTACAATGCAGAAAGAGTCAAGGTGATTTATACTCTTAAACACCATCAAACAAGGATGTGCAACACCAGATAGGATCTTCCCAGTGCTAGGTTAGCTACTGCAGACACTAGTGGGGTCCTCCTCCGTAGGAGAGAGAAATCCAGCACATACATCACCCTAGGGAAGTTCCCGAAGAAGCATCTCACAGGAGCTGTAGACAAGGAGCACAGACCAGGTGGGGAGGAACATGTGTGAACGCAGAACATACAAACAACAGCACAGGTCTACCAGAAGCCCGGACCAATGAGAAGCCAAAAGTTGGGGAACACTGGGGAATGTGAGGTGACAGACAGAGATGGGCTGACTTTCTCACAGGCTGAAAGGGTTATTCATATACTTACTGCTGTATTTTTTTAGTAGGAGAGGGACATCAACATGGAAGATTGCAAGGGGTTATGGAATCTAATTGTGCTGAGGTCTAGGCTGAAGTGTGAGAAGCCGGCACAGGCGGCAATGCCAGGCAGGAGCAAAGAAAATTTGAGGCAAAACAAAGAGTTCTGGAGACCAATAGGGTGTGAAAATTCATGACAAAATGAATCAAACACTGGCCAAAAGAATGAACACAGGGTGACAGAAATAAAAGGTTGGGAGGGGTAGCTGGTCGAGGGAGAAATGTTTGACTTTGAGCATGTTGTTTTTGATTGACCAGAGTGAGGTAGGAGCGGAGGCCGCCAGTAGCCATCTGCTAGGAGCGCCCCCTGTCTTTGAGGTTGTTTTATTTTATTTTCACAGTGGATTTTCGCAGAAACCTGATGATTTTTTCTGCTAATTCATGGGGACACTGTCACCAGACCAATATCAGGAAACACCAGATCCTACATGTGAAGAGCCCCAGAAAGGAGGAAGGATTAAATTAGACCCCTTCACAGTGCCTTCGGGTTCCCCCATCTCTCCCCTCAGGAAGGCCGGTCCTTCCTCCCTCTTCTCAGTTTCTTTTCGCTCCTTTCTGTCTCTCTGTCCACTCCTCTTCTTCACCACCTGCTGTTTTTCCCTTCCTAATACTTTTTAAACTCCCTCCTGCATCTGTCTCAGGGGTGACCAGTTCACACTTCTGAAACCCAGGTCCCAACAACAACGACCTCATCCCTCATCGTGACATCCTGTGGATCCTAGAAGCAAGAGCAAAACAACTTAAAGGTGTCAAAGCAGAACAACAAATCAGATGGAAAAGCTAAAGGAAATAGACTTCACACATTACTGCAGGGGGCGGGGCATGACCAGTTGTACTCAATGGAGTCATTCATGTGGTATTAGCCCCGGAAGCAAGCAGCGTAGCGTCCATCGGAGAACACTCAGTTTGTGCCTCTGGATCGTTTCCACCTGTGTTCCCTTCCTGCTCCTCACTCTGTAGATACAAATCCTGCCAACTGCCTTCTAGAGCACAGTCATTTCAGTGACTATTTTAATATTCATATACGATTTCCTTGATAATATAGCAGACATAGAGTACAAAATTTAGGGGCTCTAAGGAGAACGAGGATATTTCTATGGAAGACATCTATTCTTCCCCTCAACTGTACCACACTCCACCTCTGTGTATCTGCCTTTTTTAAAACTCTGTTTGTATACTACAAATTTAGCATTTTCCACCCTTATGCCCATCCCAGCTCACAGGGTCTTGTGGGTTAGCTCAGTTGTTTAAGCGCCTGCTCTGGCAAACCCAGTCAGGCACAGGGGACTGCGCCTTGATCCCCAGCTCCACATGCCTTCCCAGACCTGCCCTTAAGGCAGCCTGAGCCAGCCCCCCCAAAAAAAATTCTTCCCAACTCACGCTTGTGTGTTTAGTAACTGCAGCCCCACTGTATCTAAACTTGCAGTCCCCCGCGTGATTCCCTCGTGGATCCCTGCACCCCCTCTCATCTGCTTTCCACAGGCCTGTCCCTGCCGCACTGTGGCCTAGAATTTTCTAACCCTTCACCTGGTCTCACCCCATAAGCCTCTCACAATACATTCCATGCTGGGTTTTGACCTATGTAAAATTACTCTAGAGTTCTCATGTTTAAGATATGTTGGTGTTAGTTGAAATGTAACCTAAATAATAATTTAGAATCTATCATTTGGATAGACGTGGTTGAAGTTTACACATGCAGGGACTATGAAAAGGAACATGGCCAAGCAATACTAATAGTATGAACTAAATCTCAGAAGGCATATGATGGTTGGGAAAACAAAGTTTTCAAATATTTTAGCAGTAATTATTCACAAGTAGTTCAAGTACCGATGATTTCTTCGGTCCATTAGAGCAGGGTTGCATAAGAGTTTTACTTGGAAATATTTTTTAAAAAACATTTGTTTATTCAACATTCCACAATGCTTGAAAGCTATTATTTGCCTAATGGTGTTCTTGCTGTTTGAAACTTTTTGCTGAATAAGTATAAATAAATGAAATTATTCTTATCTTCTTAATCTTAATCTTATTCTTATAGGAGTGCTGTGTTGTTTTTCAGGGTTTTTGGGATGGCCAGCTGGAGCTCAGAAAACTATATGGATCTCTATGTGGGTAAGAAGAACACCTCATTTTCTTTCTATGTTTTGATTTCTGCATGTTGAACAGATATATAAGTAATGAACAGAGATGTTGTGTACATTTATATGGCGGATGGGCCACAAAAAAGTTACCTGCAGGACAGGCAAGGATCCTAGATAAGATCTGTGGAGTCACTCACAGGCACCACGTCGCCATGAAAAAACTTTCCCAGGATTTATTTTTATTTATTTGGTACAGGATCTAACTATGCAGTTCCAACTCGTAGTGATCCTCCTGTTTCAGCCTCCCCAGCACTGGTATTACAGGTGTGCGCCACCACAGCATGGCCCACTTGGGTTCCATTACTGGCATTGTGGTACCAGGGATTGAACTCGGGTCCTTGCACTTGCGAAGCAGGCGCTTAGATCACTGAGCTATCTCCCCAGCCTCTTTCCAGGATTTAAAAGCTTGCTGAGTTGGGTGCCTTCACTTTTCTCTCCACCATGTCAAAGGATGTGCTGTTAGGGACACAGTGACCTGCCATGCCTAAGAGCAAATGGTCCTATTTGCCTGAACAGCCTGTGGCAGGTCTTTCCCTGTCAACTTATCTGGATCTGACTTAGGTCCATACGGTTCAGCCCTATGGGTAAAGTCTGCTGCCAACAAGACGGCCATGTAATTTATCATCCAATCCAGCAACCTCTGAGAGTGGAAGGAAATGGTCTGAGTAATTACCCAGAACAACAGCATAAATTCTGACTGTCACAGATATACTGAGCCTTCTGGTCACCCCTGTCCTCAGCCAAGTAAAATAATATAGCCTCAAGGGCCGGCCAAATACCTCCATGGAGTAAAGCGCCTACAAGCAGGCACAGGGGCCGGGAGTTCGATCCCCATCCCTGCCATGCTGGTCCCACCCCCAGGGCACATTGAGATGGCAATTGAGACTGGGCATGGTGGCATGTGCCTGTAATCCCAGTTCTTGGTAGGCTGTAAACAGACAAATCACTATGAGTCCGATCTAGTAGTGAGACCCTGAACACCCTGCAGATTCTTCCCTAAACTACAAAAATAAATAATAATAATAATAATAATAATAATAATAATATAGCCTCTCCCTTTATTTTTCTTGCATTTTTCTCTTCTTATCCTTCAGCATATACACCTGTTTCTAAAATCCCACAATCTGATTCAGATCACTTTCTCTATTCAAGAGTTAACAGGCTTGAATTATAATCCAGCTTCCCAGCATGTGTCTCCCTCCCACACTGGAATCCTAGTCATTTTAGTCTGTGTCTGCACAGCTTCTCAGCCCCTGGGTGAGTGTTAGTAGCTTTGTCTAGACCTCTAGGTCTCCGATAACATTTCTCAGTGCACTAAGGTTTTGTTGTGTGGCTAATACACATTCCAAAGGGGCCCTCCAGTCTGCAAGGCTTATGAACCAAAGGATTTGGGCCATTTGTTCTCTCAGTACTTAGTTTTGAAATGGATTGGCTGGCGTCCCTTGTGAAAATGGCCGTACCTAGGAGACCCACAGTTTTGGTCAAGTCTTCCTACGCTTTGGGTTTTTTAAATTTATATGGCCATGAAAAGTTAGTAAATTGAAATGTTGTGTTTTGTGTACTCTGTATTAGTTTGTCAGTTGCTGTATCATTGACACCTCACAAACTCAGCGACATTAATGCCTGTTTACTGCATATAGTGTATCTAAGGGATGGCTGGGACTGGCTGGTCTAAGCTCTGCTTGGCTGGAAGGAGCCCCAGGACTTCCTGATGCGTCTGCTGGGCAGGGGTGATGGTGGTGATGATGGGATATGTATGCAGCTCCTCTCATCCCCATGGAAGGACAGGGCCACCAGGACAGGATCCTCTCCTGGTGAAAGCAATGACTTGAGAGAAGATGCACACAGCTGCGTCTTGTCGGCTGTTGTTCTGTTGGTCCAACTGAGCTACACAGCTGAACCCCAGATCAGGACAGGGGGCCAAGCCTGGTGCTGATGCAGGCCGGGCACATCCTCAGTACTCAGCAGCTCTGTTCAGTCTGTGACCCTCCTAGCTCGGCCTGGACCAGGTTCTGTTGTCATGCGCAGCTCTGTGGTAAGCATGATAGCTACTCAATAAACTGCCAAGGGATTGAGTTGTTTACCTTTCTTCTACTCTTGTGCTGTTTTATTGCCTTTACAAGTTCTCATTCAAGCTCTGTCTTCCCATCAGTCTCATTCTGAAGCTGATGATGCCGACTTTGGAGACGTACCCTGTGCCTTTGACACATAGCTCTGACTCAGAATGATGCTGTCCTCCCCAGATGGAAAGCTAGTCCTCCCTGAGTGTGACTTCTAGGGTCACTTCCCTAGAGTCCTTGCACAGGCTTCCAGAGTAGAGTATTTGGCTATTCAAAAATAATTCTAAGATGTCAGATGAAGAGTTGAAAGGTCATTGTATTAACAGGTGTTGGGGGACAGAGGTCAGGATGAACTGGTTTCCTTGACAACAGGAGGGCCAATCAATTTTTCCCTCCAACTTTAACTAAGTTCACACAATGTATCCTTTTCATTTCAAGAAGACTTAAATCCTACAGAATGATTTCATATGAAGTTGTAGAGATTGAAGTATCATCTGTACTCTTTATTCCCATCTCTAGAGAGAAGGAAAGAAAAAAGGCGACAGCATAATTTCTTCGTTCAAACCTAACAGCATTTTTTTTTTCTTTAGAAACAACAAAAACCATAAGATGCCTGCTGCTTTTTTGAACGGTGATGGTGGGGTAAAAGTAGCAAGCAGTTGGACTAAGTCATAAGGAAGCTCCTTTCTAGCCCTTCATACTGTTTTTGTACTGCTTAAATTTTAACAAAATGTCTTTGCTGATTGGGAATGTGAAAGAGGACGAGGTGCAATTAGCCACAAAGACCCTTCTAGCAAAAAGTTTAAACTGTGCTATTTTTAGACTACTTTTATTATTAGGAAATCGAATGGAAATAGAATCCCAGCTTGATCCTTTTAAAACTTGAAATAATAGACTGACTCCTCATTTGACAAGTGAAGCCCCCACTACTGGTGCCGTGTGGAGAGGCTCTGGGCCCCTAGATGACGGCACAGCCCTGTTCATTGGGAGAAATGTGAGTGGCAAGGACCTAAAAGCAAATCTGATGGCTGTGCTACCTGGTCAGCCTCGCAGCTCAGCCAGAGTCCAGGGCTCCGTGCTAGAAACCGGCTCCATGTCCCTTTCCTTTCCCATGCATCGCTTTGGGGAAGCAACCCCTGGAAGAGGGCTCTGTCAGGCGTGTTGACAAGACTGGCACTTATTACCATGACTATCGCCATCACTACCCTGCCACCCCATGCCCGAGAGCAAAATGTCTTCCCCAAGCAGTCGGGTAGCTGGCTTTGCCAGGCTCTGCACAGAAGCAGTCAAATTGCTGCCTCCGCGACTTTGAACCTGGATGTAAAGCAGGTTGGCCGGTGCGCACGCCTATGCAGCTTGTATCCATGGTGCCTGATTAGAGCCCGTCTGAACTGAGCAGCAATCCCACCAGCCACGCAGGATGAAGAAAGCAAGGCCTTATTGTTTGGGGTAATGATTCCCTGGTAGTAGTCAATTAATGATGCCCTGGTATCTCTTTTAGTCTGAGAATAAGCCCTGAGTTGGATTGGCATTCCTTCCCAAGCCCTATAAAAATATTATCAATAGAAGCATCATACATCAGTGACTAAACAGAAACGGGGTAGAGTTTATGGCCCAACCAATTTGCAGTTGACTTTGAGCCGCCCGCAAGTGACCTTTCTCATGCTGCTCTTATGAAGGAGTTGTAAATACACGCCCGTGTTCTGAGCTCTATTCCTTAGCAGCCACCGGAGGTCCCTGTCAGTGGCTGAAAACTTCTTTCCTGTGTCCCACCTATCTTCTACATGTTTGCTCATGTATGAACTCAGGGCCTTGCACTTGCCAGGCACTTGTGCCACTGAGCTATATCCCCGGCGCTGTATCAGAAATTTAGCAGGGGAAGGATGGACATAGGGATCTGCTATGGTTGGCCCACGTGGTAATGGCTTGGTCCCCAGGGCTTTGGGGGTAGTAAAATTTCAGGCAGTGGTATTCAGAGAAAGGAGCTTAGGTCATGGGAGGCAGTGACATGAGGTACCTCCCTGACCCTGCCACTGGCACTTCCCTCAAGTGGCTTAAAAGCAGTGTGGCCTGAAAAAAACCTGAGCCAAAATAACCCTTTTCTCCTTGCAAGTTAGTTACATCAGGTGTTTCATTATAATGTTGAAAGTTTGACTCACACTAGAATGCCATTCGTCCAAAGGGTGGCTTTCCATCCAGATCATCACCTTTCTCCAGTTGATTTCAAATGTCACCTCTATCACCTAGTAACCCCCACGTGCACTACTGGCTTCTCCGTTTCTCATGCCCCACAGAGCATCCTGACTTGGGTATTATTTGTTTTTTAATTTTTTTTTTATTTATGTGTGTGTGTGTGTGTGTGGCCAGCTCAGCCCACCAGGGGGCGGGGCTGGCTGGCATGTGGTGCTGGGGGATTGAACCGCGGTCCCTGTGCTCTGCCAAGCTTGTTCTAAGTAGGTGCTTTAGACCACTAAGCCATCTCACCAGCCCTTGGGTATTATTTGTATGGTTTCTTATATATGGCAGCAGCATAGGACATGTTTGCAAGTATTAGAACCTCAGGTGGCCCTGTCACCTGGGGAAGCTCAGCTCCTAATACCGAAAAAGTCAATTTAGCAAGCAAATGAGCCCTTGGACCCGACACGTAGTTTCAAAGTTCACACTGCAGGAAAGGGAAACGTCTCATGTGCTTCCAACTTGGAGGTGTTTAGCACTGTTTCCTTATTTAATTAGCTAGCATACAGGAACCAAAGGCACCTTGTCACCAGGCAGGGAGAAAGTTGAGAACTCTGGGATACATATGGAAAAGCATGTGGCATCAGCAATGAAAATAATAAGGTCATTTCAACACTTTTTGAGCTCAGATTCCGTGGCGCCATCCATTAGGAAAGTTTGAGCTCCAGAAGTGACT